CGAAGAAATGTTACCCGAGACACGGGTTGTGGAGAAGATCTTGAGGTCATTAACCAACAACTTCGATAATGTTGTATGTGCGATAGAAGAGTCAAACCTAGCGACGTTCACGATTGATGAGCTTGCCGGTTCTCTCGAGGAACACGAGCAATGTAAGAAGAAGAAGGAGGAAACACTTGATCAAGCACTTCAAACTAAAGCATCAATAAAAAATGAAAAGGTGCTCTACTCTCAAAATTTTCAAGGTAGAGGTCGTAGAAGTCGTGGAAATGGTCGAGGTGGTCAAGGTAGCAGAAATGAAGCATTATAAGGAGAAGAGACAGTCGAGCCAAGGAAATTGGTGTGGAAGAGGACGCAGTCGAGGATATTATTCCAACATTCAGTGCTATAAAGGTCAAAAATATGATCACTATACGAATGATTGTAACTCCAACAAATGTTACAATTGTGGTAGAGTGGGCCATATTGCAAAAGATTGTCAAGCCGGAAAAAGGGTGGAAGGAGCAACCAACCTAGCCTTGGAAGACGTAACAAATGAAGGTCTTCTCTTGATTGCTCAAGATGAAGATAACATCAACAACGATACTCTGTGGTACCTCGACTCAGGGGCAAGCAACCATATGTGCGGTCACAAGTACCTATTCAAAGAGATGCAAAAGACTGAAGATGGTCATGTGTCATTTAGAGATGCGTCAAAGGTGGAGGTCAATGGTACGATACATTTCTTGTAAAAGAATGGTGTAATGGGATCAATCCAAGATGTTTATTATGCACCAGACCTCAAGACCAACATATTGAGTATGGGGCAACTCACAGAGAAGGTTACTCTATATTCTTAAAAGACCGCATGCTACACCTGAAGGATAAGCAAGGGCGTTTGGTTGCTTGAGTCGAGATAGGAAGAAATCAGATCTACAAACTGAATTTAAGAAGCATACTAGAAAAGTGTTTACGAGTCGTCGTAGAAGACAAGGCATCACTGTGGCATCTCTGCTTTGGTCACCTATATCATGGCGACCTAAAGGAGTTAGCAAAGAAGAATATGGTGACTGGGCTACCCAACATGGACCTTGAAGGAAAATTTTGTGAAGAATGCGTGCTCAGCAAGCATGCGAGAACCTCAATCAAAAAAAGGCTGAATTTTGTGCTAAACAATCTCTCGAGTTGATTCATACATATATATGTGGACCAATTACCCCCGAGTCTTTCAGCGGAAAGAGGTATTTCATTTCCTTTATCGATGATTACTCACGAAAAAACTTGGGCTTGTTGAAGTTTTTCCTTGGGTTGGAGGTTAAGCAAAGAGAGACGAGTATCTTTATCTCACAGGAGAAATATGCAAAAGAGATTTTGAAGAAGTACAAGATGAAAAATTGCAACCCGGTATCAACACCAATAGAACCAGGTGCAGAACTCTCAAAGTACGATGAAGGAGAATGAATAGATGCAAATAGGTATCGGAGCCTAGTAGGAAGCCTTCGCTATCTTACATGCACAATGCTAGATCTTTCACTAAGTGTCGTCATTATAAGCCGGTTCATGGTGGAGCCGATTTATTCACATTGGAAGGCATTGAAGCGAGTCCTATGGTACATCCAAGGAACGGTGTCACTTGGGTTATTATACTCAAAAACAGAAGATTACAAATTAGTTGGTTACTCTAACGGTGATTGGTGCGGAGACATAGACGATTGGAAAAGTACATCGGGTAATGTATTCTTCATGGGCAACACAACATTTACTTGGCTTTCAAAGAAACAATTGATCATGACACTCTCGACGTGTGAAGCTGAGTATGTGGCAGCATCTTGATGTGTGTGTCACGCGATATGGCTCAGAAATTTGTTGAGCAAGATGGAGCTAAAGCAACGAGGTGTAACCATGATTCAAATCAGCAATTGAGTTGGCAAAGAACCCAGTGAACCATGAAAGAAGCAAACACATTGACGTTCAATTTCACTTTATCCGAGATCATGTGAAGGAAGGAAGTGTGGAATTGCTACCGAAAGTACTTTTTGACAAATACAAGAAGATGATTGACATGATAGATGGTAGGAGCATTTAAGTTTATGGGGGAGTTTTGTTGAAATAAACTTAAAAATGCTAAACGTTAACTTTTAGTTAATTTGTTAGGAAAGTTAATTTGAAAAGTCAAGTGAAAGAAAAAAGCCAAAGTTGAAAAGTCAAGTGAAAGAAAAAAGCCAAAGCCTTTGTATGAATGATAGTAGGTTTTTGGGTGTCTCTCGTACCTATTATCAGAGTTAGAAAACATAAAAATATCTAATCATTTTCTTGTAAAGTCAGAGCAAAAAGAGAGCAAAAGAGAAGAAATATAGAGCAATAGAAAAGACTTTTTGATAAAATAAGTGTTCTTTGTCTCCTTGTCTCTCCTCTCTTGACATCTCTTTCACAAATACACGAGTAGTATTTTCACAAAGTGGTGAAGCGTTCTATCGTTAGTGTGTGTGAGATTTACTTCACAGATTAGTGAGATTTATTTTAACAATTTTGGAACGAACTCCAACATACTAGGAGCCGGGATTCTAAACCGCATCTCATAGAATTTGCATACAACAATAGTTTTCAAGTAATTATTGAAATGACTTAAGATTCGAGCATAAGGGAAAACTAAGTCCTCCCTTCATCAGGCGTTTTGAAATTCTAGAATGAATTAGTCTAGTAGCATCTAGACTAGCCCTGTCACCCTCCCTCTCAAGTGTACATAATGTGTTCCATGTGTCAATGCCCAGGAAATATATGGCAGACCCTACTCACATGATAGATTATGAGCTCCTTCAGGTTGACAAGAACTTGAGTTACGAAAAGAAACCTATAAGGATCTTAACTCGTGTGGTGAAAGCCTTACGTACCATGGATATTGTCTTTGTCAAAGTACTATGGTGTAACCACGAAACAGAAGAGTCCAGGTGAGAACGGAAAGATGAGATAAGAGAGAAATTATAAGGACCGAGCTGACTCGTTGACTCAAAAAGGCGGGTAAATTTTTTTCACGAAATAAAACAAAGGAATTTAAAACATTATATTTACATTATATCAAAATAGAGTTTATACATAAATATTTAAAACACAATATACTAGTTAAAACACAAAATAAGGAACGGACACAAAACACTTTAAGACAAAAGGGTTGAGGACGATGGGTGAGGTTAGTCTATGGCACCTGCAATAGAGTCCGCTCCTGACCTCGACCAACCCTTATCACCTGAAAAAAAAAAAATAGAAAATAAGTAATGAGTACAAGACTCAATAAATAGCCTACTTATCCAAAAGTGACTTAAAAATTTAACATCCTTGTCCCTAACAATTATTCTAGGGATTCCATGTAATCTTACTACTTCCCTAAAATAAGTTGGCAACCTGTTTTGCATTATTGGTCTTGTTGCAAGCTATAAAATGAGTCATTTTACTAAATGTCTACCACAACAAGAATACTATTTTTACCCTTTTTGTGTGTGGCAAACCAAGAACAACATCCATAAATATGTAATTCCAAGGTTCGTTAGGTACGTCCAAAAGAGTATACAATCCATTTGGTTGTGATCTTGATTTAGTTTCTTTAAATTTAAAATATTAGCTACAAAAATTATGAACATCGTGCTTCATCTTCGACTAAAAGAAGTGTTTCTGCAGCATATGATAAGTTTTATTAATCCTAAAATTTCCCATTAAGCCACGACCATGTGCTTCCTTTAGAAGCAAATCTCTTTTAGAGAATTTAAGAATACAAAGCTTACTTTTCTTAAATAAAAATTAATGAAACACATAATAATCATCCAAAGTTTTTTTTTTTTTTTTTTTTTTTGCAAGACAAGATGCATAAATAGTTCAAAAGTTTTGGACATCTCTATATAATTTTTTTACGGTTAACAGGTAACAAGCTCTCGGGTTGCCAAAGTTAGTTTTTCTTCCTTTGTCATTTATGCATTTACATAGGTTTCTTGATAGTTATCTTTAATCTCCTTAGAATGATAGTTTTTTTTATAGATTTTATCTTCTTTGCCCTGAATGACTCGCACGCCCAAAGAAAGTTAACATTTTTTTTTTTGTAGATAAATTAGGGAGATTTTGATGTGGTTAAGAATGCTAATTCAGCGTATTAAGAGGCTAATTACACTTGGTACATACTCGGTTGCGAATAGTGAAAATTTCAATCTCTTTTGATGTATGTTGTCATAGAGTTATCTTGTTCATCCTCATTTGCATGTATTTGATTTAATTTAATGGTTGTGCACCTTCTCATGCAACCCCATGCCAAAGCACCACCACAAAGGAAATTTTTTTGAAAAAAAAAAAAAAAAAAACAAAATCAATCCCATAAAATTTACCATCACTCTAAAGAAAGAAATTTACATGGAAAAGAAAATTGAAAACAAATGTCATGGTGCAGTTTGTATAAAAGGGATAAGTTTGAA